TTAGCACTTTAATTAATAAATCAAAAATTAATAATCTCCATCTGATATCTCCAATATAAAACTGATTAAACCAATACATCTCCAGTCGCGATCTCCAGTCAAGACTCAAAGCAAACCCAATTGCATTTATGGCCTGGCCATAACCCTCAGGCTGCTGCCAACAAAGTAGCATTTTCATTAAACCGAAGCATTTCCACTTGGCCAAGTTACACCTGCCCGAATGCGAATGGCTTACTGGCCTGGCCTGGCCTGGTATGGCCCCGATTCAATTGCAGGCCCCAATGTATTCAATTATTATTATAAGCCACGGCTTGCGCCACGCCCCCAGCAGCGCGTTGGCTAAAACGCCCCCGGAGGCCGATGGCCTGGCAATTGAAATTGATTTGCCGAAAATGCTCGGTGAAAATTGCCGGGTTGCCGCCGCCGGGAGGAGGAGGAGGTGAAACCCCTCGAAACAATTTCCCAGCATTTACATAATTTTCCTTTGTTGCAACGCTCTGAAATGTAAACTCTGGCCGACTGGCTGGATATCTGGGATAGCTGGCTGGATGGCTGGATAACTGGCATCTGCGGTTTGGTTTTGACTCCCCCTACCTCGGGCCCCGTTACGCTTGTGATTTTTCCAATGAATATCGTTAGCATTTCATTAAGAGGCGGCTATATTGCGGTCGTCCCTCCGCTCCTAATCGTAAATATTTCGTGTAAATATTTATACATTTGTTGGACTTCTTGTTCGGGGGCATACGAAACGCATAAACATGTCGATAAAAAAAAATGAGAGAGAGAAAAATCCCCCCAGCAGGTTCTCTGCACTCCTGTCCCCCCATCATCATCATCAACTGCTCCCCTTTGGGTTTGAATCTCTGGGATCTGGGATCTCAAGATCGCAGATCTTTTACACAAAGAAAATAGAAGGGGTTCTGCTAGGCTTTAGAAATAATATTCTGTTTATAAAAAATATATTGAAAATTTCTAAAGAGATCTTGAATATTAGAAAACTATTTCCTAGGATTTTAAAGACTTTACAATTACAAAATATAAACAAAAATCCTCTCTTAATTAATTACTTAATATTCTAACCTTTTATTTCCAGTGCATCTGGTTTCTGGCGATACTTTGCTCCTGATTTTGATGAACTCTTGGCATCCGCTGGATACGTTTTTCCACTTCACCTTTGTCTCTGAGCCATCCAGCTGCGGCTGCCGCTTTTGATTGTCTTTTAATTAAACGACAGGCGAACAATAAAGAAGCCTCGTTCGAAGAACAGGTTTCATTAATTTCATTGCCCCGCTCCCGAGTTGAGTTCCCATTGCACTATATATATATAAGGTTATATATATCTACCTGTCCATTGGAATCGTTTGCTTTATGGCTGTCAAATTTGCTGCTTATCAGCTCTTTATCTAGATCTACGTCTGTCAACAGCCACGACATTATATACGATGCATTTTCCGGGCTTATCTTATTAGAGCAAACGAAAATGCAATCCACTATCCAGTAAATACTTGGAAAAACCTTTAATTGATGCAGATAAAGTTACTTTTTGAGTGGGCAGGCAGGCAGAGCAGCTGATAAACTTGGAATTTACTTAGTCGCTAGTTTCGTTAGTTAAAAGTTTCCAGTTTTCGAGGGGTGCAGAGGGCTGCACTCTGATGGTTCCGGAGAACCTTAATAAAAAGTGAGGCTATTAAAGGGTATTCTTAGGAAATATTTACATTTTATTACACATTAGGAGTTACTATTTAAATGGGGTTTTAATTGATTGTAATAAAGGATATATTTTAAAATATTTTAGTGCAAGTTTCAAGGGTTCTTTAATTTAAATTGTGAAAGTAAAAGGTATATACTCCCTTTTATAATAGAAGTTCAAATATTTTATATAAAAATAAACTTTTTAATCAACTTTCCCTTTAATAAACATTTCTCTACTTTTTTTATTAACATTTTTCATTAATTTTTAAAAAGCATCCTCTACTTTTTCCGTGTACAATTTTATCCCCATTTTGCCCACTAAATTATTCTTCTGTTTGAGTTAGTTGATTGCTTATTGCACTTGCCCGGCATCCAACCTCTGTTTAATTTGTTGAAAATTAAAGTCACGCCGCTGTTGATATAATTCGAAGCCATTATGTGACAGGGCAACTCAGCGTTCCAAGCACTCCAAGCTCTGCTTTACCGCCTCCTCGGTTGGTATTTCTGCAAGAGATTTGCTGTGCACTGCAGTCGTTTACCTTAATTCGCCTGTCCAAATTGCTATTTATATGCATCGCCCTCGCTTTTAATTTGCAGCGCAAATCACGAGCAGCCCCGCCAGCTCCAACTATATACATATATATATATCTTCAGGTATAGGTTCACCTACTCCTCTGGCAATCGCCAAACAAAATCAACAGGTGGCGCGCATATTTCAACATGCGGCTGCCAGGCCAACCGACCGAAATATCAATAAAAATGCCATTTGTTGCGATTGTGCACGGAACTTGGCAACTGCAGAGGAGGCCCGGGAGCAGGGAGCTGGGAGCCGGGAGCTGGGTCTGGGGACTCGGACGAGACCTTCCTTACTTTGGCTGAGAACCACATAGATAATTTCCCCCAACAACCTGGGCTTTTGATGATATTTCTGTTCGTGTGTCTCGATTCTTGGTCTTTTTTTTTGGCTCTGCGCTTAATTTATTGGCCACACTTTGGTGCTGCTGCTGCTGCATTTAAACGACAAGTGTTGCAAATAAAAAGGAAAAATTAAAGCGCTGCAAATTATGGAGGAGGGGGACAGTACACAGAAAGAAGTATTTAACTAGAATTAAGAATTAAGTTGAAAATTATTTGTTTCTATTATTTAGAGACTGAAATATAATACATTTTCCAAAAAATACAAAAGAAATTATTTAATTTTATACATTTTATATAAAAAATAATACAAATAAACGCTGAAATATTCTGATTTCAATTATAGAAATTACATTTTCCTCTCAGTGCAGGGAAACACGATGGAAAACCAAATCGAGCGAGCCAACCAGAGGCGACGTCAACACCAGAGGGCCGTGGCAAAAACTAGTTTGCAGCTAAAAAACTATTAAGAAAAAAGAGCGCCCAGATTGCAGTGGCTGTTGCTGGCGTTGCAGCAAGTGACTTGGCTTAATAAAGGCGGCCAGGTTTAGGTTTAGGGTTAACATCGCAGCGCCAAGGGCCAAAAGTGCTGGCCAATGCAAACAAACAAACAAAAAGCGTTCATGTTGCTCTTGGTGTTGCTGCTGCTGTTGCTGCTCGAGCACACCACCAGCAACATGTGTAGTTGCTGCAAAAAAGTCCAAAATGAAGACATGAACCAAAAGCCAAGAGAGCCGGAACACCAACACAGCAACAGCAATGTCGACCTTCTTTTGTGAGGCCCAGCTGCATAATTGCTATGGCAACAGCCAGGCTAACGAGAGGGGTTGCAAGTTGCAAGAGTCCCAAGTTGCAAGTTGCCCGTTGCCGCGGGCCAAGTGGAGACCTCTCTCAGCTGACAGTTGAGAAATTAGAACGGTTTTTGTCTTCCAAATCACATGCACGTGTTGCTCCAGTCCTCGCCAGTTGCAGGTTGCTGGTCGATAGTTACTGTTGCTAGTTGCTAGTTTGCAGGTGCTGCTGATGTTGCTGCTGTGGTGTTAGATCAGGCCTGCAAGCTTAATCAACTTTGTAATTTTGGGGTATTTTGTACCCTTTGAAGGGGCATTGTTGGTTGTTGGAGAAGCCTAGAGCATCCTAAGAGAGGAATTGCAGGCTCTTGAATTAAAAATCAAACATTTCTTAAGATTTTCCCTCTTCCAAACGGTGTATTATCCCATTCGCTGCTCTGCAGTTTAATTAATTCCCAAAGCCAACATCCTCCAGACCCGACTAAATGATTTTAATGTCTGTTTGTTTGCGCAAATCTTCATCTCTGTTGTTGCTGCAGTTGTTGCCCTGTTGCTGTTGTTGTCATGTTTTGTCTTAAAGTTTCCCCTCATGAGTTGCATATTCGATTACGAACCGACACAATTCCGACACGGGCCTCCTCATTGAGGGTTTGTTTAACCAATTTGCGTAGGTGGACACTCGTTCCTTCGCTTCGTTGTTGTACGTGATTGCGGGTTGTTGCCGTTGATTATTGCCTCTCGCGGCACGCATATAAATCTCAGTGTTTAAATCTCGAGTTAAACTTGTAAATTAAAACCTTAATGAGTCTGTGGAATGAGTCTGAGAGGTGGACCCTCGTACCACGCTGTGCAAACATGGCTAAAGCCTGTCGAGTGGCGGGGGTGTGATTTATGCTGTTCCCGACTACTTACACTCCACAAAACACACACTCACTCGCACATACCTGGGCAAATCGGTTCCTAGAATAGTTTCTATTTTTCGCGTGTTTATAGTTCTCCACAGGATCGCCAGCAATTAGTTGGCCACAATCACATGCAAGCCGATGGCTTTCCGTTGATTTCCTACAACTAATTAATGCCCAGTGAATATTCTCACGCTTGGGAACAAAAGGAACGGGTAACTTGACATAATAAAATCAAGAAAAAACCACAAAACACGTTTGCTGCAGGCTGCTGACCAACAAAGTGTAACAATCTCCGGCTTCCTCAATTTAATTTGCATATTTTATGCCGGCCCACGAGTTGATTAATTTACAACAGGTAACTTCGGCGCTAGCATTGAGATGATTGCATAATTATTTAATGACACAGGTAAGCACTAGCAAAACAACATAAAATATATACACAAATAATTATGTGCAATATAATTAATAATCAGATTTAACTATGTTTAATGGTATGTAGATGGTTAGAGTAAAAGTAAAAAAATAATATTTCAGAACTTTATGCTTTGATCATAAAATATTTTATAGGTTTCTAGTTAAATTCCTTTTCCTTTCCCCTTAAAAAAAATTCTTTTTTGAAGTTTTCTCCTGCCTAGAACTTGATTTCTAATTAAACTTATAAAGTATATTTATTAATTTAAAATAAAAATTATTATACCTTCAAAATTTACCTTTTATTGTGTATTTTTTGTCCGCAACTCCTTGTGACTCCACAGGTGGCACTTCACTTTCAAAGGTCACAGGCATAAATCAATTAATTCTCTTTAATTTCTTGCCACCAATTTGAAACCACAAAAGTTGTTGTTTGTTTTTTTTTTCATCCACTTGTTTCGCAATGGCTTAAACTAGGCACAAGCACACACTTTATTTTATTTACTTTTTGTTGTCATTTGTTACGAAATAGGCTGCAACATTAATCCGCCTGGCAACCTGTCTCTCAATGCGACTTTACACCGAAACGCGCAAACACAACGCGAATGGCAACATGCGACACGACGACTGTTGCTGCTGCTGCTGCTGGATGTTGCCGTTGCTGCCGCGAATGTTGCTGCTGCTGCTGCTCCGACGACGACGTTCGCTTCCGCTGACTTGACGCAAACGACTAAAAAAGGCCACATAAATTTTGATGCACATTCAATAGGCCAGGCAGCAGCAGCAGCAGGAGTCGTACATATACAGTTGAGGGCAAAATAGTAGCAATAAAGTAGCAATTAGAAAAAGGGAATGTTAAAGGGTACATATTTTTAAGGGAATAAGAAATAAAAGAATTTTAAGAGGGTCTTGAAAAAAATAATAATATTCGAAAACCTATAATAAAGTCAAGAAATAAGTAATTGCAATTTGGAAAGTTTTTTCTTAAAAGTTTTCATAGGATTAAAAAATCTGCATATTTAATTTAAAAGTTAAGGTACGAAATGATTTTTCCACTTTTTTTTATAAATGTAATTATTAGTTAATAATAATTATTATTTACAAAAAAATATTTTTTTTTTGTTTTTCTTAAGCTCTTATTATTTTCACCGCCATTGTGCCTCAGCAACAACAACCGACATTCACACACACACTAGCAACATACACAACACACATACACTCCGTCAGCGGCAACCAGTTTCCTTCCATTCACACGGACATTGTTTGTGGAACGCATGTGGGAAGGCGGCACAATGCGTTCCACTTTCCAGCTTCCACAGGCACATTGCGTTTACGACCTGCCAGCAGCGGTTTGTTATCTTTTATGATAAGGCTAAGACCCGCTTTTTACGATCCGCGTCGAGGCTTCATAATTTTTAATGCGCACTTCTGGCCTGAAATTGATAATTCCCACTATTCCCTCAAATGCTTATGCCTCGCCCCAACTAATTAATTGATGGCTCAATTAGGGTTAGTGGCCAACAGACCAATCACAAGTTGATTTTTACGTTTGTTAACGAGTGTTTGGCAAACGTCTTATTGCAATTATGATTCAGGAGGGGGTTTGCCTTTAAAACAAGTTAAGATGAGAGAAGAGGAATATGCAAGAAAATGTAAATTATTGCATTATAAATAATATTTATTTTATAGATTAAATTGTAATTTCTTTAACTCCCACTTTTCTTGAAATATTTCCTTTTAAACACAACATAAAAACCTACAAATTAGCATCTAAAAAACTCTAAGAAACAGGTAACAATAGTTTTGAAAAATACCTCTTTAAATATTAAAAAACCTTAATTTAAATAAAATAAATTAAGTTACCCTCCCACTGCTTAAAAGTTAAGTACTTCCCCGCAGTTACTGTTAACTAAAGTGGCAACTTTGTCTTGTACCAACACCACACACACCCAAAACCCACCCATTGACGCGGCAGAAAATTAATTAAAAATGCATTAAAAATGTTTGCCCTGCTCATTTCCGTCTTGAGTGAGGAAAACTCCCCATCCCCCCTGCTGCTCCAGCCGGAGAAATGCCAATCGCAGCAAACACAGAACACAGTAAATACCGCGAATACGAGAACTGAAAACTGAGAAAATCCCGCGTCTCCACTTTGGCAAAAGTATTTACAAGCCTCAGTTCGCAGTCGCATCTAAAAATGTTTGGCATCTGCCAACACGCACCACTGAATCAGCAGCAGGAGGAGCAGCAGCAGCAGCAGTAGGAGGAGAAGGAAAATAGAAATACTTTTCCGGGAGGTGGAGGAGAGGAGCCCAGGGAAAATGTTTGGATTTCCAACGTAGCTCATTGCTAGCGTGCGTTGCTGCATTTCAAAAATGATTTGCAATGCGTGGTGCGAGTGGGAGTGAGAGTGGGTGGAGCTGAAACCCGGGGAAAGCGTTGGGCAGGAAGTGGCAGGCGGTTTTTGGTTTTGAGGCTCCTACTAGCCGCGAGATGAACTCCAAGGGCCAGGCGAGCGGAACGATCCGGAGACCGCGGCAGACGGCGTGACTTGGATGAGTTATCGTCGCGACCACGCGTGATTCTTCCGTTTGAACACTAAATATTCGAGTGCACTGAGGGAAAATTCTTTAATTAAGCCTAAAAATATTAAATTACGACTAAAAAAATTTTTAGAAAATTTAAAAAAGGTTGAAAAGATAAGCCCCAGGAAAACCCAAGCTTACAAATTAAATCTTGTTTTTTTCTTATTATCCTGCTACATTTAGTACTTTTTTCTCACAGTGCTTGACTGCGTCTGTGTGCCGCCTGCTGTGTAAACAAAAGGCGTCCATAAAACTGCAACAGTTTTTCATAATTTATGACAAGCGGAAAAAAAAAGCGAGGTTGACTGATAAGCAAACTGGACATGTTGGCACTTTAACGAGTCCAAACCAGCGGACTTTTCCGCCACTCGAAGGGGTTTCCTAAGTCAGCATAAAAAATATCTAAAAAAAATGTATAAAAAAAACTATGGCAACATCTTTAGCTCACGAGCAACAGCAGCCGAAGCCAAACACGAACACGAGCCGGAAACAAGCACGAAGTTGGATTCTAGTTGCTGCTGCTGCTGCTGCTAATGTTGCTATTGTTGCTGGTGTTGCTGATTCTTTAGATGCTGCTGCTGCTGCTGCTGGGCGCCGCATCACTTGGCAGCGTGTTTTTTGTCGCCGCGTCGACGTCAGCAGCAATTCCTGGACACCGGCAACATGTCGCTGGGCCCAAAAGCCGCAATGGAATGGATTCCGCGGTTACTGAGTGTGTTGCCAAGAGATGGCATTGGGAGGGGGGATAAGTGGAAGGGGGGATAAGTGGGAGTGAAGGGTAGAGGGAGGATGAACCAGTTTTTTAAAAATGGAAATAAAGTTTTTTACTTAGAGGCCTACATTTGGGGATTCTTAGAAATAATTCTAAACCTGAAAATATAAATTGTTGTTTTGCATATTATAATTTAATTTGTATTTAATTTCTAATTAATTAAATATTTTATATATTAGTGATTAAAAATTGTTTAAAACTACCTTTAATTAATATTTCCTCTTAAAACCAAAGCTGAGTTTAAAATATTCTTTCTTTTTTAGTAAGAATTATAAGTTTAATTTCTATAGAATTAAATAATTAATAAATTAAATTAATTTAAATTTTAATAATCATTAAAAACACCTCTTAACCCTCTTCCTAATTAATATTTTCCTTTTTTTTAACAACGCCTCGTTTAAATTCTTTCCAAAAACCTAGCTTTCAACAATTGATAATTACCTCCCAAAAAAATAGATGCTAATGATTCTCTTGCTAATGAAGTAGCTCCCCGGCCAGCAGACTTCCATTTCCCTCTCCTAATCCCTCCCCCCTCGACTGCAATTTTGACGTGTGCTTAGACAAACTGAGATCTGCTGGCAACTGACAACTGATTTATGGTGTTCACTTCGCTTTCGCGGTGTGACTCCAGTTTTGAGGTTTGGAGCTCTCCGGCAATTTGCATGTGTAATTGCCTCGATTTTGCCCCAGCTTACATTTACATCTTGGCCAGCAAGCAAGTCCAAGTCCCATCCCCCGATACCACAGCTCATTCCCATTGCCACTCCAAGTCCCAGTTACAGACACAGTCCCAGTCCCAGTCCAATTCCAGTTCCAATCGCACTGTCATTAGTTGGCGCAGCTTTTTGACAGCCGCAGAAAGTGGCCCTAGAGTGGGTTTGGGTACTGTGTGTGTGTGTGCTCTTGCTGGTTCATTTATGACATTCGCTGGCTAATTGCTGGCACTGCCACTGCCACACTGAGATGCTGAATAACTGCAAACGTTTCATACGCCCCGTGGGCGTGGCTCGTGCACTTTAAAAACGCATTAAAAAAAGGCAACAATAAATTGAGGGGAAGGCAGGGCATACAGAGGGAGGAAGTGCAACCCAAAAGTGGCACTTGCAAACATGCTTGGGGCGTGACCATATTATGCATCTGGAGACGCAGTTTAAGGCCGGGGCAAACGATTAATGAGGATAGTGGAAGCAGGGCTTGAAAAATGTGAAAATTCAATTAATCAGCAGAGGCAACGGCACTCGAAAACATATAGAAAATTATTGAAAAAACAAAGAAAATAAGTATTTGTTCGAAGGAATTAATAGGAAAACAAGTATTAGTTGTTGGAATGGTTACATAGTCTTTACAAATTTAAGAAATGGTAAATAATTGTTTGAAGTTTTAATATTAAAATAGCTTTAATTTGATAAATTTTTTATATTATTTTTTTCAAATAAATTTTAGTCTTATATTTTTCCCCTTTTTAAATATTATATTATTCTTATTTTTATTATAACTATTTGTTTCTATTATTATTATTAATAAATAAAAATTTAATAATTTAATCTTTTATTTTTCCCTTGTTTAATATTTTATTATTGATATTTTTATTATTTTGTTATTATTAATATATTTTTTTTCCTTTTTTTTTAATATTGTTAATTTTATTCTTTATATTATTATATTATTTTCAGTGCCTTGCTCAGGTTATCTTCAATATAACACTTTTACCTGCTGCTTGTTGGCCAAGATAAGATCAAAGATCACTGAGCAAGTTCAACTCGCCGAGGGTTTCGTGTTGCCATTGTGTTGCTGCTGTTGTTGTGGCTGCTGCTGCTGCTGCTTCTGGTGTTGCTGCTGCTGCTGCGCTTTTTGTGTTGCTGCTGTTAGTGGCACGCGCGTTGCCACTAGGCTTTTGGGCAGGTCAAAAGCGTGCACAGCTAAAATCGGTAGCCATGATAAATGTGGCCCCTAGAATCAACCAACATCTACTTGTGCCACACATTGTTGCTTCGGTGTCAAAAGTTGTTGCTGTGTGTATTGTTGATGCTGCTGCTGTCCCTGTCCCTTGTTGCATCTTTGGCTGAGACTGGATGAGGCTGCCCCTTTGCTAATGTTGACAATTTAGCACAAAATTTGTATGCCATGTTATTAAGAATTTGCAACGCTTTCATGCAACATTTGCCGGGGCAACAATTAGCTGTGTTTATAATTGGGGACGTGATTGCTGTGGTGTCGTTTTCCCCTTGCGGCTGTGGGACCTCTTCCCTTTTTTTATTCTTTATGGTTTTTTGGGGGAAACGTGTTTGAACGCTATAAATCAATTTGGCACAGGGACGTCGAAGGATGCATGCAAAAATGAGTCCGAATCGAATGAAGAA